GTGACTTTCGTTGACTACGAGAAAGCTTTTGACAGCTTGACACCAGCGCCTTATGTCAGCTGCAGCCGACGAAGGAGTGGACACAGTTACGTGCGGGTCAGCCGACTGCTACAAGGTTTGTATAACGTCGATGCAGCATTGCATCGCCTCTGCAATTAGGAAAGGTGGACAAAGTATAAGATCGCACTCGCCGAATTTGTTTACACAGCGTTGCAATGGGTCATGAAGCCACTGGAGTGGTGGCAATGGGTGATGAAGCTACTGGAGTGGGACGATAGGGGCATAGTTGCTGGGAGATTCTTTTCGAAACTTCCTGCAAACGACGTCGTTCCTTTTCGAGCAGTATCACTGAAACAGAGACGGTGCTGAAGGAACTAAATGAAGTAGAGAAGAAGATCGCATTGCTATAATCGAAAGACTTACTTCATCTTTGTGAAGATGCGGAAAGGAACTGGAGAGCCTCTGTTATGGAGACATCTTACGTTTATCTCGTGCGTTCGATGAACAGAACGATTCGAGGGAAATCAACAGGAACAAAAAGAGCAACCTGGGCCGCCTTTGAGCCTCTGAAGGAAGCCATCAACCAACTGACGGACCCATCTCTTTGACTCAACCCTTCCCGTGGCGCTCTGTTATGCAGCTGAGGCTTGGGCCGACTTCGCAGCCACGTCGAAAGCTCTACGTATCACCCAAAGAGCGCTTGAGGGCAGTTTTCTGAAGATGACCCGACACAACCACAGCAATTCGGACTTCGCAGTACGGATATGAGAAGAATTTCTCCGCGATCCAGCGGAATGCAAGCGAAACATCGATGTTTCGGTCACCCCATGAGAAGAACAGACGAGGGGTGGACACTAAAAACATCTGTAAATCCCTCGCGAAGCCAAACGTCGTTGAGGAAATTAATCAACGAAATGGCCAGATGTGTTCATGGAATGGATGAACCAATTGAGAAATCACCTGTACGATCTTCATGCCTGGAACTAATAGAGCAACCACCGACGACAACTAAGAGGATCGTGGATTTCTGAAGCATGGGATAGGGACCACCGGGAACTTCTGAGCTGGATGGGGCCCTCACGTCACGTGAAGGCGGACCATCTAAGTATTCAAATAAGTAAGCATTATTTTAGTGTTCACCTTCAGGTTCTTCCCCGACAAACTTGTGGTCTTTACACTCATACGCAGTTTTTTCATAACTATCCAGGGGGATTTGGGAAACTGATAAGCTCGATTTATGGAGGCGAACTCTTTTTTACCGTACTCCTGAATCCAGTAAGTTGTTTTGTTTTGATGACTTCTTGATAAAACAAATACTTTTAGATTTCCATTTTCATGACTCATCAGCAAAATTTTGCTCATGATAGATTGGCTTTGTATACTTTCGATAGTCTCGTGAGGTTCATCAGATGTTGGACAAATGTCAAACTACTTTGGCAGAATCCGGTGGCCTCAGCGAAGATGTATTTCACTCTCCTACCTCAAGAGAAGGTGCCTATATGGAGTGTAGGTTTTTTACTGATCTCTCATTTTATCTATCACCTACCGTCTAGTGTTTATGACACTATGCCCCAGCTTAACAACTTGCGCGAGATGCCAGCTTGTGAATGCCTTCAAATTGCTGTGTCCTGAGCGAAAAGATGGCCTTCGGAGTACTTTTCCTTTGTTTAAAAGAGCTTAAAGGCAATGGATCGGCAAAATTCAGCAACACAAGATT